AACTAGGAAAACAATACAAAGAATCAATGTAATTAAGAGTTGGTTCTTTGAGAAAATCAATAAGATAGACAAACCTAAACCAAACTTACGAAATGGCAGTGTGAACATGCAAATTAACAAAATCAGAAATGAAAAGGGGGACATAACGGACACTGAAGAAATCCAGAGACTCATCAGGTATACTTTGAAAACCTGTACTCCACAAAATTTGAAAATCTAAAGGAAATGGACAATTTTCTGGATAGATACCACTTGCCAAAATTAAATCAAGAACAGATAAGCAATTTAAACAGCCTGCTTTATTATATTTTTGGTTGCGAGCCTAGCCTTTAACAGCTGAGCCATCTCTCCAGCCTAACAGCCTGCTTTCTTATAGAACTGAGAACCACCTGTCCAGGGGTGGCCCCACTCACCATGGGCTGGACCCTCCCCCATCAATCACTAATTAAGAAAATGCCCTACATGGTAGCCTACAGCTCTATTTTATGGAGATATTTTCTTAATTGAAGCTCCCTTCTCCCTGATGACTCTAGCTTGTGTCAAGTTGACATAAAACTAGCCAGTACAACCACACTTGCCACTAGAGACACCACAGAAATTAAAATGGTAAGAAGAATATCAGGGATACATTTACATCTACATTTCACAAATCAGATGAAATACACAAATTTTTTGAAGATACAAACCATCAAGCTTACTCAAAGACAAAGAGTGAAGAAGTAACAGACATTTAATTTGTAGCTTCCTGTGGCTAGAGAAATGGCTCAGCAGGGTGTTGGTGGCTCACACCTTTAATCCCAGTACTCGGGAGGCAGAGGCAGAGGCAGAGGCAGACGGATCTCCGTGAGTTCGAGGGCAGCCTGGTCTACAGAGTGAGTTCCAGGACAACCTCCAAAACAATACAGAGAAACCCTGTCTCAAAAAAAACCCCAAAACAAACAAACAAAAAAACAAAACAAAAAAGAAAAAGAAAAAAGAAAAAAAGAAATGGCTCAGTGGTTGGGAGCTGGCTGCTCTTCCAAAGGATCTGGGTTCAATTCCCAGCACTCACATGGTAGCTCACAACTGTCTGTAACTTCAGTTAAGGGGATCCAACACCCTTACACAGACATTCATGCAGGCAAAACAACAATGTACATAAAATAAAATAAATAAACATTAATTTGTAATTTCCTCATAAACTTTCACAGAATGGCTTTACTGTGAATTCAACCAAACATTTAAGGAATCATTAATAAACCCTAAAAACTCTTCCAGAAAAAAAAACTGGGAGAGAGCTACATTTTATGACTGAGAAAGATAGTAAAAGAAAACTATAGCCAGGCAGTGGTGGCACACACCTTTAATCCCAGCACTTGGGAGGTAGAGGTAGGACGATCTCTGTGAGTTTGAGGCCAGCCTGGTCTACAGAGAGAGTTCTAGGACAGCCAGGGCTGTTACACAGAGAAACCCTGTCTCAAAACAAAGAAAAGAAAAGAAAAGAAAAAGAGGAAGGAAGGAAGGGAGAAAGGGAAGGAGGGAGGGAGGAAGGAAGGAAGGAAGGAAGGAAGGAAGGAAGGAAGGAAGGAAGAAAGAAAGAAAGAAAGAAAGACTATAGCAGCCTTATAGCTCAATGTGGTAATGTATCCCAATGTGGTAATGTAATCCCAACACTCAAAAGGCTGAGGCAGGAGGATCAAGAGTTCTCGGTCAGACTGAGCTTAACATAGTAAGACATGTCAAGAAAGTAAGGGGTTGGGGAGACAGAAAAGCAAAGGAGAGGTGTCCTTACCGCTTTCTAGAACTTTTTGAAACATGGAGTTTCATCACATACATGGCTACCCATGAAAAAGGTGATGCTAGACATTATGAAAATGGGTACTGCTCAGAGGGAAAGTATCACAGGTGTTACCATGTACAATTGGTTCAGTGCTACCCAGCAGCTGTCAGCACTGCTGTATGTAAACAAGGTGCAGGCAGGTCTCTTGCCAAAAAGTATGTGTGCTGAGCCTACCAAGCATTTTAACAGCTAACACAGCTTCCTGACATGTGTGAAGGAAAATGTTCAAGGCTGAAGCCTTCTTGGGCTACTGACTAAGTCACATCACTTCCTCTGAGAACTGTCAGTTTCTCACGTGGATCCTTGTTTCTGATCCATTTTAGGATCTGCAACTGCTTCTTCCTGGGTTTGCCATTGAGCTACCCAACTGCTGAATACAAAATGTCAAAACAGTTCCTTTTCCAAGGGGAGGAGGAATGAATGTCTACTTAGCTGCGATTTGTGGGAATCTCTGGCCATAATGAAATCGGATTGTTTCTATACAAATGGCTATTTGGATTGTGCCATCTTCCTTTTCAGCTGCATTACTTCTGTATGACAAAGCCAGAATGAAGGACCATTGCTGAGTGAATCCTATGCACGAGAGCTGCAACACTCTACATTAAAGCTAAATGGTCAATTAACTAAGAAGTAAAACGCTAAAAAGTACAAACACCCTCCCCCTTATATTTTAAGTTAAGTAAATTAACATCTTTAACAAAAACAGAGCAAGTAAGGCAAAAAGAAAATAGCTAGCCCAAGGTTCCAATCCAACCACATGCTTTATCTGAGCAGACGGCTCAAAATGGTCACACGAGTGCATTTCAAGTCCCCAGGGCTGACACATCCTAAGGATGGACACCCATGAGCAACTCACCTCTCTGGAGCTGCAAAATGAGAACTAGGGTAATGAGTTGATCATAGGCCACCATGCAGAAACCAATAAAAACAGGAATGACTTGGCTGGTAATGAGAGTCCCCAGTTGTTGTAAATTAAGTGTGCTAAATAAGAACTTTTAACACAAAACTGCAGACACACTGTGAATTGGCCTAATAAAGGATTCAACTAAAAAAAAATCAGGAGAGCTGGTACTTTTTCTCTTATTTTCACTTCAAAGGCACATTCTAATAGGTTCCTCACATAATAGGATGATAAAAATGAATTCTATATATAATGATCAATACAGATATTTATGTCTTAGAAATTATTATTAGTCCTTATCAGTAAATTAAGGGAAATGTACTTGTGGTGGTTTGAAAGAAAATGGTCCCCCAAAGGGAGTGGTGCTATTAGGAGGTGTTGGAGTAGGTGTGGTCTTACTGGGGAAATGTGTCACTTTTATATATTCTATATACATAAAACACATCTGACTTTTATAAATGAGGTCCCTTTCAGATTTCAGTTATTGATGGAATGTTGCTTAGACAGTCTATTCAGCTCTTTTTGGGGCATCTGTGTACCCTGTATCTCACAATCATATTCATACTCTATGAATAAATACAGACACTGACAACTAGAGCAGAACACCCACCATGTTTTGGATCTGGTTTAACTGTGGTCTCTTGTACTTGAACAGAAGCTTGTACTTAGTGTGCTGTGGCCAAAGAGGTGATGTCATTGGGCACATACTCTCATAAGGGACTAATTGTCTCACGTTTTTATAAACACAGACCCTGACCCTTAACCTTGCTTTCTTATCATGGGCTCCTTTCTTTGTTCTCTGACCCTCTTTCAAATGTGTGTGTGTGTGTGTGTGTGTGTGTGTGTGTGTGTGTGTGTGTATGTGAGAGAGAGAGAGAGAGAGAGAGAGAGAGAGAGAGAGAGAGACACGACACACACACACACACAGAGAGAGGGAGAGAGACAGACAGACAGACAGACAGACAGACAGACAGACAGACAGACAGACACTGCATCTGGTTGTGTGTGTGCCTGTGGAGGCCAGAAGAGGTATCAGGTTCACTGGTGCTGAAGTTATAGGAGGTAGTGAGCCACCATGTGGATGCTGGGAACTGAACTGAGTGCTCTTAACTTCTCCAGCCCCACCATGGGCTCAGCACACATTTACCCTCCCTGTTTTGATGTCTCCCTATCCCACATGAAGTAGACACCAGACATATGAGGCCCCCTAATCTCAGTCTCCAAAACTGTGAGCTAAACAAGCATCTCTATGCTCAAATACCTAGTTATAGCAACAGCTAAGGAAGTAATCTCCCTCCAAATGTATCACACTGAAAATTTTCTGACTCATGAGAAATTAATTCACTACCAATACTCAAAAAGGTATCAATATTCCAAGTTCAACTTAACCATCAGGTTTAATGGAAAAAAAAGGAATAATGGCTAGGGAGCTATAATATTCAATCCCAGATAATTTTCATCTTTCTCCTTCCCTGCTTATTTCATATGCTCTGACAGACATGCTATCAAATAAAAGTCCACACTGCTTTCTTGCAGTTAGAGACATGCTAGCAGCCAGGCACTGAGGCAGAGAACACATGCACCCCAAAAGAAGCCTTTTGTTTTTAGTTTAGGATATGGTTTTAGTTTTGAGCTTACAGAAGTAAGTAAAATGTTATTTTCTTTTAAAAGAGTAAAAATACCTTAACTGTGTCCTTTTAAATAAGGTTGGGCTTAGAAGTAGGAACTTTGAATTCAAAAGCTCCTGTTCACTCTACTGTTAGCCACTGACACTCTACAAAAGAAAAGAAACCAGGAGTAAAGGTATAAAGGGCAGGAGAAGGCACCAGTGAAGGAGAGGCACACCTGCCACACCTGCCACAGTTCAGAGGGAGAAGGGTGGGTGGGTGGGTGGGTGTCAGCAGCACTTGGATAGCATCTGGGTGAGGATGGGTGGTTCCCAAGGCCCAGCCTGGTTGGTCTTGGGAAGACTGCCTAAGTCTTTGCCACTGGGGCAGGAATGAATATGAAGTACATGAAAAGCACAGAGGTGTCAGGTTCCTGCAGCTTCTGTAGAGAATAACAAGGTTCACAACTGTGGAAAGGCATTCATCTTGTAGAAGGATTGTCTTAAAAGGCCTGGAGACCAGGTCAAGGGACTCAGAGACAAGGTCTTGTTCCCCTTTTAATGGGTTTGCTGCTGCCTGGCAGCCATATGCTGGCTCCAAGTGGGGTGATGCGTAGGACCCAGACACTGTGAGCTCAGGGTACTGAGGTAGGAGGTAATGCGAGGGTACTTGCCGCTGAGCAGGGGCTTGTTGAGGGTGTAGAGTGGCGGCAGGTCCTCTATGTTGGAGATCCGCTGGTACATGGCCCTGGAGAGGTGGTCACCATGGTACAGGCTGCCCAAGATGATGCTGGAGAAGTAGATGGGCTCTACAAAAATGCTGAGCAGGGACCCCTGGATGCCCACCACGTTCCAGCTGCAGGGAGAAGGAAGTAAGTCTCAGTAGACACAGGTATGGCATCACATACAGATATAGCACAGAGACACATGGCTAATGCTGGAGGAATTGTAAAGGGGAAGGCATGGCCGTGAGAATCACTGACTAAGCAGCTCAATTAAAGGTTATCTTCACTGTGAAATAACTCTGGGTCACAGTCTTGGGGTCTTCCATTGCTGTGATAAAATGCCACAACTAAAATCAACTTAGGCAGGAAAGAGTTTATTTCATTTTAAAGCTCTCAGGTCAGTCATACATACTCCATCACTGAGGTAAGTCAAGACAGGAACCTGGAGGCAGGAACTGAAGCATTAGTCATGGAGAAATGCTGCTTACTGGCTTGCTCCCCATAGCTTGCTCAGCCTGCTTTCTTTTTGGTTTTTTTGAAACAGGGTTTCTCTGTGTAACAGCCTGACTCTTCTAGAACTTGCTTTGTAGGCCAGCCTGACCTTGAACTTACAGAGATTGCTTACCTCTGTCTCCTGAGTTCTGTAGTAAAAGGCTTATACCACTATGACCTGCTCAGCCAGCTTTCTTACACCATCTAGGACCACCTGGCCAGGAGTGACACCATCCCCTTTGGGTTGGGTCCTCCCACACCAATCATCAATCAAAACAATGTACTATGACTCGCCTACAGGTGAATCTTGGTAGCACTCTCTCAATAAGATTCGCTCGTTCCAGGACATGTCTAGGTTTGTGTCAAGTTCATAAAAAACCAACTAGCATGGCTAGTATGTTTTTCCATGACAACATACTTTCTGTAGGTTATCTCTTAAAGGGTACTGAGAAGTCGCACGTTTCTTGTGAAAAGCCTGAGGAAATTTCTCATGGGCAAATACATGAACTTTTCCTTCTTCTAACAAAAGGGCTGCAGTCTCCCGTGGAACGCCTCAGAGCCAGCTCCTCGGAGGACTGTGCTCCAGGTGGGAGTGGAGGTGTGACAATGTGGTGCATGCACTAGAGACAGAGAGGGTGACAATGCGCTGGCAGATGCCGCAGCGCTGGTTGACATGAATTGAGGTACAACCAACGTGAGGCGAAGCAGAGGCTTCTCTGAGAAAAGGAGTGAGAGAGGCCACCCACTTAAGAGGAGGTACCAACAGAAGGCCCCTGAAGCTCAACCCCAAGGACAGGGCATGAGGAGGATGACATACTCCAGCCTCTGGGACAAGGGACTTGGGACAGGCAGGGGTAACCATGCAGGGGCAGGCCAGGCCAGAGAGTGGGGTTTATCCAAGTGGTCAGGAGCCACTAAGGGGAAGGGTGAGACCCTAAGCAGGCTCTGGAGGACTTGAGGCATGGAAGTAACTTAATCCCATTTGACACAGGTGTTTACGGAGGGAGAGACTGACTAGCACTGCATTTTGGAAAGTAAAATCATCAGTACAGGGAAGGGACACAAGGAGAGAGGACTCCTAGGGCACATATGTCAGAAGAAAGAGTTCAAGTGAGTGGCAGAGAGACAGGGAAGTGGGCCAGATGCTACAAACCTCAGCAGATGTGGGAAGAGGAAGACTCCTGAACTGCAAGAAGGCTGAGGCCCAACCCTGAACTTTCCCTAGACCTACCGTCACGGGATGGGCACTGTCTGCCCAGGTGACACCTGCAAGGGAGCAGAAGGCAGACAGGTGCTCTGTGGGTCACAGCCAGGAAGCTACAGGGAGGGCTCCATACAAGCAGTAGCTGAGCCTCACTTGTGCAGACCTGCACTCAGGCCAAGCTTTAGCCATTCAGCATTGTTAGGTCTAACCGGTACAAGGGGCTAAGTGAGATGCCTACTAACATATCAGAGAAGACACTGGCTGCCAGGGGCTCCCAGCATCCTCAGTCCCTACTTGTTATAGAGTCGCCTGGCTAGTGTACCTTGCCCATTACCATAAACTTCTCTAGCCCAGGAACTGGGCTGGGCTGCCTCCCTCCCCCCGCTGTTCCCTACATAATCCAGTCATTTGGGCTATGTAGTCCATTTTTGACCTTGTACTTTGGCCTCTTGTCCTCTTGGCTGCTGTTCTTGATTCCCCTCTCCCTCTCTACTTTCCCCTCACCCCTCTCCTCACATGGCTCCATTCAGTTGGCTGGTCATGTTCAGTCTGGACCCTTCTAGTTGACTCTGGCTATGCTCTCCCTCACATCTACAATAAACCTTCTCCTTCACCATACCTAGGGGAAGTTATGTCCTTCTTTTGTTTCTTTTTTTCATTCAAGGCCACACCTAGCATAACCTTTATCTCTCCTTTTCTAGGTTCTCAACCCTGTTGGTGGAGGTGTCAGTAAGTCAGTCCCAGGTTGTGAGCACGGAGAACTGTCCCCACTACTCATTTCTCTAGTGGTGGCACGGGTGGGGGTTGAGATGTCCTCCTTGTCCCCTCCACCCCAGCCCATCAATACCTGAGGCAGATGGGAGAGCTGTCCCTGCCCATAACCAGTCATGCACCTGGCCTGGGTAGCACAGTAGAGCTGACCCTGTTGGCAGAGGTGTGGGTGAGCCAGGCCCAGTGTTGTGAGCATGGGAAAGCTGTTTCCATTATTTATCTGTCTTATGGCAGCATGGGTAGGGAGAGATGCCCCCACCCCACACCTGGCCTGCCCATCATCCTGAGGCAGGTAAGAGAGCTGGCCCTGAGGTCATAAAAGTCAAGAGAGCTGTCCCTGGTCCTCGTCAGCTGCAGCTGGAGAGACGCTGCCACACCTCACCTGGGCAACACAGTAGAGCTGGCCCTGAAGATGAAGGTGTGGGAGAGGTGACCCTGAGGATGTTAAAGCCAGGTAGCTGGCCCCACCCCCTTGCTCATAGCTACAAGGGGTGAAACTAGCCAGGGCAATGCTAGAGAGCTCACCCTGGTAGCGAAGACGGGAGAGCTGGCAGACTGACTAGCCCTGCAGTTACCCAGGCCCAGAACTGGGATTATGTGTTGTCCCACCCCAGTGGTGCACATGTGGGGGAAGGGTGTCAGTCCTATGGACCCAGGGCTGCTCTCCTTGAATCGGACCAATGATCCTTTTCAATAAACATCTGCATGTAAAAATGTATGGGTAAAGGGTTTACTACATAAACTCACTGTGTCACACTGCGTTTCCATGACGAGATTTTCCCCTTCTTCCCTTTCCCCACCTCTTTTTCTCTCAAATCTTATTTTGTTTTATTTAGGGGTGGGGAGGGAGATGGGTGGGACGGGGAGGCATGATGTGTAAGACACAAAGAATAAATAAAAAATAAATTAAAAATAGATCTAGGTTCTGACTTCTGAATAATGCCAAAGCTAGACCAGGGTCAAATGATGCCAGTCTTGCCTTGCCATTGTGCCCCCTCCGGAAGCAAACAAGAGGTCTGGCCCTCAGTCTTTCCCTGCATGCAGCAGCTGGCACAGCCCTGGGAAGACACTGACTGGTCCAGTCCACTCCTTCTCAGGAGCCCCACAACAGGTCCCCAGAAAACAGCATGTCTCCTCTGGAGCCCCGGAGCTCCTGGCTTCCCTGCTGCAGTCTAGAGGACTGGGCACACGTGTGCCCCTGAATTCCCTCGCCAGCCCTTCACATAATTTACACTGCTAGTCTCTGTGACCTCTCTTAACCCCCACGAAGAAGGTCAACATGCTGAATGGATAACCTGTAATTCCTAGGATGTATTCTTTCCACCCTCTAAGAAGGAAATTAAAACAGCCTTCCCTGTCCTCAGAGAACATCTGAAATGATTCAGCTCTGGAAGCCCCAGGGCTCCTTTCTGATGTAGATGAGAAGCCTGCTGATTTAGATGACTTAAGCAGAACTCAGTCCCCTGGGCAGTAATGCTGTGATCTTGCAGAAACCAGCATCTGTTAGGACTCATTAATTCTGAGCACACACTTCCTTGGAGATCCCAGCTTCAAGGCACTGGGCAGAAAATAGCTCCTCAGCCAGCTCTACTCAAAGAGAAGCTCCTGTCAATCAGCCTTACAGAGAAGAGCCATGCCCACTTTCCGGGACCACAGACTGAGAGATCCCAACTCAACATTTTTAGACCCCTAGTGACTAGCCCATCACAGAGTGACTTGCCCTACTACCCTCCCCTGAGAAACCGGAGACCTCAAGATAAACTTAAAAGATAACCCTCCCTGATCCAGGAACTAGCTCACCACATTCCTGCTCAATGTTTAACTGTACAATGCCCAAAGAATGCTTGCTTGAGATAACCTTCCTGTTAAGACGTAAACTATCATCTAACTTCCTCATCCTTTATGATGTTTGCCTAACTCCCCCATTCAGTTTTTCCCTTTTAAACCCCCCCCCCACTGCAGCTACTAGGGGTCGAACTCCTCTGCCCCTGTGAGGGTCATGAGCTCAGCCCCAGTGCACTGGTTCCCCAAATAAACCTCGTGTGCTTGCAGCAAGAATGGTCTCTCTTGAATTATTGGGGCATCGGCTTATCGCGAGACTTGAGTGAGGGTCTCCCCACTCTGGGGGTCTTTCAAGACCACCACATAAGGACATTACAGATACAGCACGATTCCACATGGCAAAGCGTTCACCAGCTAGAGATGCCTGCCCAGTTCCCATGCCCACCTGGACCAGGGCATTAGGTGAGGAGCTTCTCTGCTCAGGCCCCAAGAAGGGAATGCATTTGTTACCAGAAAACAATAGGTACTCCCATCTCCTGGCCGTATGCCTGTTCTGCTGGGTTCAGGACTGGTCTGTGGCTTTTGTGTTTTTGTTTTCTTTAAGTTATTCTTTGAGGATGGGAGAAATATTGCTGTCATCTCGCCACCCCTACCCAATCTACTACAGAGCCTGACCTGGCCCTGAGCACACCAAGGAGAGTGACCAGAAGACATACAACAAGAGCACTATGTTGATCCAACCATGGACTCCTTCCACAGCTCTTGCTCAGACTGGTCAGGACAGCTGTTTGCTCTGTGGTCCCCTTCTTTTCTGCTTCCATGTCACAATTAACCTTCAGAGAAAGTCACCCGTGCCCTTCAAACTAATCCTGCTGGGAGTGT